TTCCTCTCCCACTAGAGGCTCCATACTCTGCCATCCCTGTCACTGTCCACTGTGTTGTCAGCACCCTCATCCATTCCCCCCTGTCTGCCCTTCTGGTAAATCTAGTCAGCCAGAGGTCCCTGTTCCAGGAGTGTCAGCTGTTCCTCATGGCCGCTCTTTTTTTAAAAAAGATTTTTTTATTATTTTTACTTTATGTATATGTGTGTTTTGCTTGTTTGCTCGCTGGCTCGCCTTGAACTCAGAAATTTGCCTGCCTCTGCCTCTGAGTGCTGGGATTAAAGACATGCACCCCCACGCCTGGCTCTTTTGTTTTTTAATGAATAAAACGTTTCTGGAGCTGGGCGTGGTGGCACACACCTTTAATCCCAGCACTGGGAAGGCAGAGGCAAGCAGATCTCTGTGAGTTCAAGGCCAGTCTGGTGCATAGTGAGTTCCAGGACAGTTGGGGCTACAGGGAGACCCTGTCTCAAAAAAAAAAGAAAAAGTGTCAGAACTGTTGGTGTTGGGGGTGCTTGAACCTGTTTTGAAAGTGAACCTGAGTCTTGTGTAATTTAATTTCCTCAAAATCTAAAAATAAATAGAAATTAGAAACTAGAAGAAAATAGTGGTATCTGTTATTGAGAGAAAGTAGTATACCTCACCAATTTTTAGGACAAAGAATTCTCAAATATTCCTAGACCCAGTATGCTCCTGCATACCTCATCTGGGGAAGATATTCAAGGTATGACTTATGTATAAATTAAGTAGGAAGAGAGTGAGCAAACAATTGGCAATTTGTAAAAAGTTTTGAGTGAGGTGGGATTTTTTTTTTGAGCAGGAGATAAAAGGGAAATTTTAGAAATGATATAAAACTGAAATTCTTAGTTACTGCAGGTTCTTAATGTAAAATAAGAATATTTTATAGTTTTTTGCTAAAGTTTTTTTAACTTTTAAAAAAAATTTATTTATTTTTAAATTTTATGTGTATTGCCTGCATGTAGGTAAGTGCACCCGTGTTGTGCAGTGCCTAGGGAGGTCAAGAAGACGCTGTCGGATCTCT